AAAGTAAAAAGTGTAGAATATATTCTTCGATATGCAGTACCACGTACGATATAATTACGATATCACATCAAATGACTTATGCCACTAAATTGCTGATGGTTTTGAAAAAAATCAATGTAAGAAATTATTTTATATTAATTCCGCGACAAAATACTAATTGAATTTTAGTTTATTTCAAGTAATATAACGTCAAACTATTTCATACTAATATACAGGGTTCGATCCTATTTAAAAAGACAAAGTTATTTAAAAAATACATATTCTTATTAAAAGAGATTAAAGGATTATTTAAACTTTATTATTGTAAGTTTCCAAAACTTATTTTATAATTTCTATTTTAAATGTGTCAGTCAGCGGTTGGTCGGTATTTAAAACGATTTTATTTAAAATATGTATTTTAAATTCTCTCTTTTCCTCCCTCCCTCTCTCTCTCTCTCTCTCTCTCACTCTCTCTGTGTGTGTTTGAATTATTTAAATAAAAAAAAGATTGTGCAGTTATTTAATATTATTTATTTAAAAAAAAAAAATTTTCTGATTTATATTTCTAATTTAATATTTTGAGTTTTTGAAATCTTAGGAACAACATTTCATATTATTTAATATTTATTACGAATACGTTTCAAAAAGAAATGACCAGTAGAGCTAAGGTACAGAGCTGTACCTATCTACACGAGCCATGGTGAGATGAGCGGTGACTGTTCGCTCTTCACCCGTGTGAAGCTGGCCTCCCAGTATTATAAGATCGATTCTTTTCTTCATGCATTTGTTTGCTGATCGTTTATTCACGAATTCTCAATTGGAATTTTCGTTTGCTCACCCTTAGTTCAAAAGATTTATGAGCAAACTAACGATGAGCAAACGAATGCATGAAGAAAAAAATCTTTTTTTTAATTCGATACCAAAACTTAATTTTCTTGTATCTTTTAAATTAAGGGGGTGAGCAAACGACAATCGATTGATTGTCTGTCTTTATTTGTCTAACGGATCGATAATAATGGACTTAGGGAAGATTCGAACCAAAAAATCATGGACATTACCGACACAATCGTGGACTTGGCTACATAGTTCAATGTCCACGTTTTGTGGACATAGAGGCGCTTCAAAATTAAGTTGCAGCTAAGCCCGGACACCCGGATCCTCATACGGACAACAGCGCTTTGACACCGGACGCTGATTGGTGAAAAACGGGTTATGGGGGTAAATTTTACCCTCGCCACCGGTTTTTCACCAATCAGCGTTTGGTGTTAAAGCGCTGTTGCCCGTATGAGGATCCGGGCTAAATCCCGGGCATGGCCGCTCTCAAGGCTTCTCTCTGCTATTAGCTTCGTTTGACATTTAATAAATAACAAGGATGAAATGATTCCGTGAGCCTTGCAAACGACAAATAGAAATTGCAGATTGCAGATTATTACTCTTTCTTTTATTGGTTTGCTAAAAAAAGATAGAATGAGTGAGTTCAAGACGACAAAGTGGCTAGGTATGCTTTACCAAGCGATCGAATATGATTGGTGTAAGTATTCTTACTTCATGGGTGTAAGTAATAACTTGAACGTGCCCATTGGTTCAAGTTGACGAAGCGGCTAGCCTGCTCGCTGAGCAAATAAACATAATTGTTGCTTATAGATTCAACCAACGACATCTAGATTAGACCGCTGATGGTAGTGGTAGGGATAGAAAGACGAGTAGAGTGAGAGGCAGAAATAATATGATCGCTCTTTCTCTGTTTACTGAAGCCTGATTGGTTGTTGGATTAACAACAACCAATAGTAATCAGTAGTTATCAGTAAACAGAGAAAGAACGATCATATTCAGAGAGAATCAAGGGAGAATGGAGCGGATGCACCGGAAGTTGCCATTTATAGACCGAGATATTAAGCGTTATAGTTGACAAAAGCTGTCACCAGCCGTCACATCGGTCAGCCTGTTCTATGAGTATCTCACTTTAATACATGCACATTTGCGGAAGTGAACTATAAATGGCGGAACCAATCAGAAGAGAGAACACTATCCGCTCCACTCTCCCTTGATTCTCTCTGATCATCTCTGATCATTATTTCTGCTCTCACTCTACTCGTCTTTCTACCCCACCACTACCATCAGCGGTCCATTCTCCCATTCTCTAAATGTCAATGACCGCACCCCATATTCGATCGCTCGGCAAGTACATACCTAGCCGCTTTGCCGACTTGAACTCACCCATTCACAAATATCGTTCTGTCTTTGTCTGGTCTTTGCTTCTCATCTGTCACGGATGGAATGTAAAAACGAAGACATTTGTGTTCACTTATGCCACTTAAATAGCCTTATCGTCCTCCTATTCATTAACTGGAGGCGGGAGCCATTAATTAAAGAATGCCACTAAATAGAAGGTACCCACTGCTCGTTTCTATCAATATAGATTAATTAATTTTGATTCATCTTTATATACACACGCACACATTATACAATTTATACATCTTTTTTTAATTTTCAGAACTAAAAGTTAGCAGAGACGGATGTAAATGGGAAATATATCTAGGCTACATTCTAAAGTAAGTATGTTTTTCTTTTAGAGGACACACTCGACACAAACGTCGTTCTATCCTTCTTGACATTCAACGAATGATAAAGATAGAATGACGTTTGTGTCGAGTGTGTCTTCTAAAAGGAAAGCATACTAACGGTGCGTTCCACTTAACGTTCGCGAGTATCATTTTGTCCTTCTTGTAATCGAATATTAAATAAGGATGAGATGATACACGCGATAGTTGCGAACGTCAAGTGGAACGCACCCTAAGCATCCTCTCCGAAGATTTTACTCGAAATATATAGTATACGTAACACATACTATACATATAGAATAAAATCTTCCTCAGACAGGACGTTTTGGAAAGTAGCCCTAGTAATCTCATCGGTGACCTAATAGCAGGCATAGGAATGAAAGCCGAAAGGCTGTACAAGCCTATGGACATGGAGTATGGATTCCGTTATTCATCGGCTTACGAGTAAAGATCTATAGTTCACGTTACGTGTACTGTAGACTTGATTATTGCATACAGCATACACACTGCCGTGAATATAACCTCTCTAATATAATAGAATAATAGGTCTATAATGTTACGTATAGTTTTCCCTCTATATGATACGTTATCGCTCCTCTACCCGCATTTTTCATAGTAAGTAATTGAACAGTGAGTCATATATATGTGGAGTATTACATATATGCAGTGAGTGAGTGTTGAACAATTGAGCAGTTTCGTACAGTTCCTTAATATGACGTGGTATGATGGTATGACGTCGAGTGTTGGCACACGTTATCCAACGTTATCGATGTTATGCGACGCGTTGTAATTAAGTGTTAAGTAGAACGCGTCGCAAAATTATCGTTATTGTTTTTGATAACGTGATAAGATGAAGCTTTATAAGGCGTGCGACCTCGCTATTGAATGTTTCCAAGGAATACTATTTGAAAATTATGTGAAAACGGCTTTCGTGAGTACATTTTTTTGCATACTGTCAAATAATTACCGTATGTACTACATGTAATAGCTTCAATTACGTTCTCTGTTTTTTTTGCATGTGATAAGGACGTGGAAATTGAACAAATGAGCGTGTGTCGATTCTCATGTGCTATCTAAATTGCAAGTTCACTTTGAGGCAACATCTAACAACGTACAGTTGGCATAGGCAAGTATGTTGAAAATATTAAATTGAGTATACGATTTAGTGAGATATATATTTCTATTTTTGTCATGTCCAAATAAACGCAGTGAAGTGTCATGTTAATTTGGAAACTGACGAAAGTTAAATTTTTTAAAGAGACGGTACGAGTAGGCTTTTGTTTTTATCAATTATCTTGTTGACCATAAGTTTTTCACATTTTCTATAAATTCTTTACATATTTTCTTATGTAGTATCAATATTTGATATGACATCAAACTATTTGATCTTATCTATAATTTAAAAACTGCTAAATAATCTTTGTTGTACAGTAGTATTGATAATTATTAAAGTTAGATTGAAGTTAAATTGGAGTTAAATTAATAATTATTAAAGTAAATATATAACATGACTTTTTATTATGCATATGTTCTATATATCTTTACTTGACTTATACTATGACTCATGACTGATAAGTTATGATTGTTTAGGTAAAATTTGCTATGACAACAGTACCTCGGAAACCAACTTAATATTTAAGGAAGAAAGAATAAGTTACATCTTTTTATATGAAGTCGCAAAAACTTCTACATTATAAATAGATTTCCACATTTTGATGACCAATATAGTTCACATATGAGATATATGCTTTAAGTTGAAGCCAACATATATGTCAATTCTAATAATTTATTCAAGATTCTTCGTGTACTTTCAATGGCAAAGTAGTGCATACACTATTTTTTTGTAGATATTTATATATAGTCCACCAATAAACCTTTTTCATATTGAAATAAAGTTGAAATACATCAAGATATAAAAATGGCTAGTGGATGGAAAATATTTGGTTTGTTAATGTACAAAAATTTGATAGTACGCAAAAGGCATTGGCGTATGATGATTTTCTTACAAGCTTTAGTACCTATTGCAATATTTGCGTTACTGCAAGCTGTGAGAGATTTCAGCGTACAGCCCCCTGTTGTAGTAAACGTCAGCACACATTATCCTATATATACACAAGATGAATTAATGCAAAGGATTGATAATGCTTTAAATAAAGTATATTATGCACCAAAAAATGCATATACAGATAATATCATGGAATCCGTTAGACAATGTCTTCATCTCCTGCCTGGAAGTAAGTATAAAATGGTGATTGAGAGATTAAAGTGTTTTTTAATAATTTATATGACATTAAAATAATACCTTTTTTATTTTTATGTAGATATGAAGGGTTTTGCTAATGAATCTGAAATAATAAATGTTTATACACGGTCTCAAGCACAAAATCCAATACTTTCTGCTATGGCTATTGTTTTTAAACAATATGATCAGCCTACCATACAGTATAAACTGAGACATTCATGGAAGGTTCCATACTCTTTGTATCAAAGCCTATCAGTTGAACGTATGAGTGCATCATCTTCGATGTATTTTGAAATGATGCCATTTATCCAAGTTCAGATCTGTTTGGACGAAACACTTATAAAACAAGTAGCACCAGATTCTAACATAAAGGTATTATGTTAAAAAAGAAATATATAAGTATATATTTTAACAATAAATTTTTATTATCAAAATATTTTCAAAATTTGAATATTTACATATATGTAGGAACAGATAGGATAATATATGATTGTGATATGACAAGATTATCATTTTGTGATGTTATCTTTCAGATGTCAATACAAAGAATGCCTTATCCACCATATGTCAAAATAGATGCGGTGGATACAGTATTTCGTATGATAATTGTTTCATTTGGTGTTACAATTTTTGTGATTATACTTTGTGTGGAAACCAACTATTCATCGAAAGAAAAGTTTATTGGCATAAATGTTAGTATTCTTCCATCATATTTTTCATATATTTTTAATCACGAAAAAATATTTATTTGTTTTGTTATTTTTAGATTTTAATGGCAATGAATGGAGTCAAATTGGTCTACAATTTATTTAGCTGGTTAATTACAGGAATATTAATGAGCATTATTTATATAATACCAACAATCATATTATTTAAGAATACTTTTTCCGATAATGTTGAGGCCTTTTTGGAATATGGAAATGGATTTATATTTTGGCTCTTATTTACCACACATATTGCTCATCTTATAACATTTGGCATGCATATTGCAGCATATTTCTCAAAACGTAATATTTGTTTGTAAAATAAATTATTTGAAGTGTACATAAATTATATTCTTAATATCTTTTTACAGCACGATTTGTGACAATTGTCTTAGCTATCATTTACATGGCAGCAATTTCGCTCCATCAAAATATGGTAAGGCGAGAAATTTTCGGCGTTATACCGTATTTTGGTATAATATTTCCAAACATTATGCTTCATAGATTTCTTCAAGAATCAAATGCTCATGAAAGCAAATGTAAGCAATTATTGTTAACGTATTTATATTAATTATAAGAGTGGTTCAAATCTTCAAATATGAATAAACATTTGTGAATATAAATCAATATTAATAAACGTATACTAAGTAACAGATGAGTGTGTCTGTTCACCCTCTAATTGTGTACTCGTGGCAATTAGTTTTGAAGTAGTTGTGATATCCGAACAAATAAAATGCGTACATTATAATACGTTCAATCAAGTTTTTTTGTAAACAAAAATGTTAAAACAGTCGAAATTTTACATAAACTATATGAATAGTTTGGAGAAGACGCAAATGTGCAACAGCATTTAGTACTATTTGTTCGGATATTGTAACACCAACTGCAGAAACAACAACTGCTGCAAGTCCACTATGTAGAATGTGAACAGACACCCTTGCTTGTTATAATCAATGTAAGCACGTTGATTTACATAAAAAAGTCTCATTTATATTTGAGAGAACCACTTTCTGTATTAATTCATTAAAAAAGCTTTAAAGGATTGTGTGCATGTTAAATTTTAAGGATAGTATGTATTGTTTTATTTTTTTCTTTTAGTGGTTGGTATTCAATGGTATAATCTTTTTATCCCTGGAGAGATAGAATATGGTATCTTAGGAAGTCCAGGTTTTATATTTCTCTTTTCAATCTTGGGTGCTGTGATACATTTTACACTTGCCGTATATGTAAATGCTGTACTGCCCGGTAAATATGGAGTTCGAAAGGATCCATTATATTTTTTAAAGGCAAGTTTATGCGAAAATTATAAATAGTATTAAATCTGTGCATAAGTTTGTACAGTCAAATTCGCGTACTGATAATCTTAAGAACTGCGCATACGCTTTTCCTTTTATGTACGTAACTTGTCCAGCATCTACTTGGCGTAGGAAATTTTTGTGAATTTTATTTGTTTAGTTGTTTTACCTTCGTTTTAGATGAACTCTGACAAATTTTGCTTTTGCTGCATGTTTCCTTTTTTTAATAAAAAAAAGACTGCAGAAGCCAAAAAACTTTTGTACAACACACATAATAAGGATGCGTCAATAAGGATATGTAAAAAATCATACAAATGCTTCCAGAGTACTGATCGCAATACTAATATTAACATTCGACTGAGATCATGTCGTGCTAAAGATATTAATAATGTAGAGCTGCATGCCCTGCTTGACGAAAACTCAGCTGAGATGCAAGATTTCCCAGAAATGCTTAGCATGAATCAGTCGACTGTAAGTCGATTAAACTGCAGACTCATCGCGATTTATTAAAAATTTATGAACTTATGCATAGATCTAATATTGAAGAAAAATGGTATGTGTATGTATGTGAGATATAATTTTTATGCTATTATATTTTAGTGCATCAAAAAGAACAAAGTATCTCTTGATGATGAAGCTACTGGATTTGATTACGACAAGACTAATGAAGACTTTGAGCCAGTGTTAGGTGGTGCACTTACACCTGGAATACAAATACGTGATCTTAAAAAGTCTTATACAACAAGCTGGTTACGAAAATCTGTAAGTTTATATAAAAGGAATTTTACATTTTGTTATATTTAAATACTGTCATGTTATTATATTTTAGAAAGTCCATGCCCTAAGAGGAGTATCGGTGGACTTTTACAAAGGACAAATTACTGCTTTACTTGGACATAATGGAGCAGGCAAAACTACACTTATGTCTATATTAACAGGTATTACTTTGTATTGGGAGACAGTTAATGAGTTATCTTATGGGAGATACTCTTACTATATTTATGTTCAATAGGTGTGACCAGTGAAACAGAAGGGAAAGTCTTTATAAATGGCAAAAATATAAGAAAGCACTTAAATAGTATTATAAATGATTTGGGGCTATGTCCTCAAGAAAATATGGTTTTTCCAGATTTAAATGTATTTGAACAAATAGAATTCTTTGGCTTGGTGAGGATAATAACGATAAATTTTATAGACTAAAAGCAATTGTGCAATAACATATTAATTGTCTATATATATTTTTATTTATGGCAGTTGAAAGCTAAAAATAAAACCAGAAATGAAATTAAAAAAGATGTTCATAATTTGCTTGTTAAGTTGAAGCTTTCCGAAAAGAAAGATTTTCTACCTAGCAAACTTTCTGGTGGTCAACAAAGAAGACTATGTCTCGGAATGGCTCTTATTGGCGATGCTAGCGTAAGTTTTGAAATAGAGATACAATGAAAAAAAATGATACATTATAATTATATAATGTTATTTAATCTAAAATAAATTTGTATTTAGATCATAATTTTGGATGAGCCAACATCAGGAATGGATCCTGAAACTAGAAGAGATACATGGGATATTATATTGGTAAACAAAAATTTAATTCAATTTTTAAAGTTATGCATATAGATATATTACATTATGTTACATATTTAATATTATTATTCTTTTATATAGAAACTTAGAGGAGAGAAAACAATATTAATTAGTACACATAATATGGAAGAGGCTGATATACTTGGTGATAGAATCGCAATAATGCATACCGGTCGTCTTAGAAGTTATGGCACTGCAATGTTTTTGAAGAAACAGTATGGTATGATAATATTCTTACTGATATTTAAACAAGATATAGTGAACGTCTCACTAACTAAACATCGCCCTATGTTCGGTTATAATTTAATTGTATTGAAAGATTAAATTATAATATTATATTTAAAAATTCGAGTTAAAAATTATTCGAAATTAATAATAATATAAAGAAATAATGTGTATTTTATGTAAATATCCGAATATAGATACATGTTGAATCACTGGAACGTTTACCTTAATTAAAGTAATTGTTTTCTAAATTAACTTTTCTGTTTTAGGTCATGGACATATCGAAGTTACATTGTCGACAAAATCTTGGTGTGTTCCCGAAAAAGTCATAAATAAATTTGATGCAAGAACACAACAACTTAGCGTTGATAGTGAAAAGATCGTTTTAAATGTTCCATATACTGATTCTTTACCACAATCACTGGACAAAGTAGAAAGCGAGAAGAAAGAATTAGGCGTCACTGGAATAAGTGTGTCATTGATTACTTTGGAACAAGTATTTTTAAAGTATGTTTATTAAAATATGTTTATGTCCTTATTTTATTATTATTATTTCCTTACTTTATTATTGATTGTAGGATTGTGAGAAGTGAAGATAGTGGAACACATCTTAATGAATTATTTACAGCACCATTACAAAAAGTTACAGGCACTGAACTATCCGTGCAAACAATATCGGCATTATTTTGCAAGAAATTTACATACACGAGAAAGAATCTAGCTATCCTGCTGACGATTGTATGTATTTCTCTCCTTAATATATGCTCTTCACTAGTACAAAGATTATTAAACATATCTTAATGATATTCTTTGTGTGTGTACTTCTTAATACTTTAAAATTGAAAAGTTTCTTTTATTAACATATCTTAATATTTTCAGCTAATTCTTCCTATCTTTTCGGTGCTTCTAATGGCCTTGAGTTACAGCTTACCAACCGATTCCACTGATATCGTTCCATTAAAGCTTGATATGTACAGATATCCCAAAGCTTTATATTCATCAAACAACGAACAAATTGCTCAGAAATATAGAGATATTGTTCAGAATGTGGGCGAAGCAGAGCGTGTAGCGTCAGATATAAATGTTACAAGCGGTAGTGTATCATATTATTATATAATTTTGTGCCAAGCATGGTAATAGATTTATCTGAATGATAATTTTTTAATATATTATTTCTTTTAGCTCTTTTGAATTCTTCTATGAAGAATCTTGCGGAGTACCGAAACAATCTTATCGTATCCGCCGAATTTAATATCACTGAAAATAACACATGGGCTAACGGTTTTTATTCCGGCATAGCAATTCACAGCGTGCCATTAACAGTGAATCTGTTAAGTAATTCGTTTATTAAAGCTATCGCTGGCGATGAATACTCCATTACTGCGTCCAGGCAACAATTACCGAATTCGATATTTTCAACTCAATTACAATTGCCCGAAGCAGATTCGATGTCGCGTGTTTTGCTATTCTGCATGTTTTTATTTCCTACTATGTCACTTTTTGTAATGCATCCTTTTCAAGAAACCACAACGAAAGTTAAGCAACTCCAACGTATGACTGGTGTCACTTCTCTATCATACTGGGGTACAATGTTCGCTTTTGATTTTCTGATATTTACAATA